TGTATAGAGGCAGAAAACCGAGTCATGAAGAATTTAAGTGGCCCTGTTGTGACAGTAAAAGGTGGTGCTGTGTGGGGTGCTCCTGGGTCAGTATGGCTCTGTTAGGGAACTGTAGGTACAACTGTGGGGAGCAGGATGTGCCACTTGCAGCAGCAGGGATATGGTGAAGGGGAACCTCAGGAGGGTGAGTTTGGTGTTGGTGGTTTCTGGCTAAGAGTTAGTTTCTTTCATCTTGTCATTTTGTGATGTGTTTTACTGCAGCTCCTCTACATGGGCTTCTTACGGCATTTCCCATTCATGGTGGCAGAGCTGCTCCACACTGTTCTCTGTCCTAGGAGAACCTTCTTAACTTCTACTCAGCAATGCTTTCTGAGAGAGATCTTTAACTATTGGAATTTTGTGGGAGACAGGTTTTCCAATCTTCTTTGACAGAGGGGAATGGAATCCCATGATGAACAGGAGTGCTGTTCTTACACGGTGGGAGGCAGGGATATAAATTGAGAATACTGACAAGCATATCCTGCCTTGGAGTTCCATATTTACTTTTGGGTATTGACTCCATTACGTGGCTTACAACACAACCTACTGTTCAGAGTGAGGCTCAATTGAAATCAATTGCTAATTAAACTTATGTCTGCATTAATAAATCACAGCCATTCAGATCATGTTTATAGGAATAATTTCTATTATAGTGAACATAATAGAAATTATTAGATTCAACATTTAATGGACCATATTGTTCGACATGGCCAGCAGGGTCAGGGAAGTGCTTGTCTCCCTGTACTTGGCACTGATGAAGTTGCACCTTGAATCCTGTGTTCGGTTCTGGCCCCTCATTACAACAAAGACATTGAGGTGCTGGAGTGGGGCCAGAGAAGTGCAACGGAGCTGGTGCAGGGCCTGGAGCACAAGTGTGATGGGGAACGGCTGAGGGACCTGGGGGGTTCAGTCTGGAGAAGAGAAGGCTGGGGGGGGACCTGATAGCTCCCTACAAGTGCCTGACACGAGGATGGAGTGAGATGGGTGCTGGTCTCTCCTTCCAAGTATCAAGCAATAGGCAGAGAGGAAACTGCCTCAAGTTGCACCACAGGAGGTTTAGATTGGTTACTAGGAAAAGTTTCTCCACCAAGAGGTTTATCAAGCACTGGAACAGGCTGTTCAAGGCAGTGGTGAATCACCATCCCTGGAGTTATTGAAAAGACATATAGATGTGGCACTTCAGGACGTGGTTTAGTGGTGGATTTGGCAGTGATAGGTTAACAGTTGGATTCAATGATCTTAAAGGTCTTTTACAACCTGAATGATTCCATGAAATTCTTGTGACAATTGGGGCTAATAGAATATGTTAACCTTTATTCGCCTCAGCTTGACACCGCATTAGACCATGAATTAATATATGAACGCCTAGGAGAGTTTCATAATTAAGTAGCCGTTGTGACTCCTTTGGCCTGTCAGATGAGTTACTTATCCTACGTCCTTTCTTCAGGAAGCAGCATTTGAAGCAAAGCAATGAAGGTCTGTGCAATGCGAACAGGGTGTTGTGCTCTTTGTTGTCCCTCTGCCTCTGCAAGTGGCATCCTGGACAGTTTGTGAGATTCAATTATATGTGTTACCTCCCATAAACACTTCAGCTCAGCCTCCTTCCTCTCCTGCCGTAACCTTGAAAGAAACTAAGAGTTTCCAGTCTCTGCAGTTCCCAAATATATGTAAGTTCTAACAATCACTGTGTGCTAGAAAGATATTGTCCTGAAAGGCACGTTTGCAGATGTGCTGTCACAAGTACATTCCAATGTTAACCACCTTTGCCTATTTTCCCACTTACATTGCAGGGAGGAAAGCCTGGAAACAGTTTCTCTTCACCAGGCTAGAGGGCAATAAAGGGCATAGATAAGAGGGAACCAGGGGGATGCAAGTCCAGGTCCCTGTGATACACAGCTCTATGGTACCTCATGGGCTCAATGGCTGGAGTTTAAACCCATGCAATCCCGTGGAAAGACTTTAAACCCCACGTGTCACGTACTAAGGGACTTTGATTAGAGACTTTAATGTGTCTTGTTCCACTCTGAGGAACGTAATCCTGGCACTAAACACCTAAAAGACATTTAGTACCTGTAAGGATATTTCCAAGTGAAAATTTTTGTGTTCTGGGAAAAAAACCCAAATGGCAACAACAAAAAACTGATGAAGAAATTGAACCAGAAGCACGGAGCTCTGCAACCTAGAAAATGAAATCTAGGAATCCGTATAACTTCATTCACTTGATCAACTTGCATTATGCCTCTGTAGTACGCTGTCATGCGTGTTGGGCTCCCAAGTGTGGGCATTTCTCAAAAGTTAAAGAGGTGTCCACAAGACTTTCCAGCAAGTATTATTGCTCCTCTCCTTTTAAATAACAAGGAAGTACAGGATTATCATCATAGGCCTATTTTTATAGCTGGAGAATCAAAGTCTTAAGGGATTGCTCAAGTGTAATAGAAGTTTAGCTGAGATGCAATCAGCTCAGGATCTGAGGAAATGTTCTCCATTGTTCTTCTTTGCAGAGTGCCAACAAGTCAGGAAGAAAACAAGAGAGATGCTTCTTTGTTTCTAGGTTCTTTTCTGTAGCCCAGACATATATGAGCAGCAATATTTTGTGGCAGTTGCTTGTAGTCTAGACTAGCAAGTAATAAGGCCCCGAGAAAACAATTTGTTAAGTAGAAGGAAGAAAGGCCAAACTTGTTAAGGAAATAATGTTACTTTCAAGGTTCTCAGGGGATATTAGAAACAATGGAGAGTAAAGCAAATATTAGAATTGCATATAAAAGGTACTTGACATTTTCTATCTCCAACGGCCCAAAAAGCATTACTACAGAATGTTGTGATGTTATTCTATTGGCAAGAATACAAAAGGGAACAGGCCTAGGAGATGCCAGCTATTCATTTTAGTAAGAACTCAAAGAACAGAAAAATGAATAGGTAAATTAAATCGTAATAAGAGCTAAAGAAATAGCAATGCATTTACTTATTAAAGCCCGTTTAATAGCAGAACTTCCATAATTAAAGTGACTCACCCTGCAGCTAGCAAGAACACAGTGCCACTGCATGTGGTTTGTGTAAAAGTCTTCATGGACATGCCATACTCCTTACTCAGACTTGTCCACATAGAAGATGGAAGCTTCCTACTCTTATCTGTCAACACAGTTTCTTTTTCTTCTCTGTTTCTGCAGGTTCTCTGCTTTTGTGCCCCAGCTTCTGATTCCCCAGCTTCCTTTATGAGCTCTTACAAAGTCAGCGGTGGGTGTGCAGACACCATTTAAAACCAGTTCTGGGAATGAGTGGGAGCAGAGAGCAATATGATGGTGTCCTTTCTTAGGTGAGTTTAAACAAAGATTGTGAAAATAAGGGCTCAGGTACGTGTACCAGTGCAACCAGCTGTGCTTCTTTAAGGAATACTGTCCCACACTCTGGTGAAACAGAGTGTTTCACCCCATCCTGCTCTGTTCACACACAACACTTGTATCTTTAACAGCGAGTCTGTCTTTACATGTCATTTCAGGCCTTGGAGTAAGGTGGGCAAGCATGGTGGTGAAACCGTACACTGTTAGGTTGGGTTATTGTTGGTTTTGAGGCTCTGTGCGTGTGGTTTTGTCAATACCTTTCCTTTGGAATCCAGGGCTGGTAAGTGAAGACAGAGAGGTGCCAGTTAATTCCTTTGCTCAGACTCAGTTTGTTGCAGAGGCCATGTTTTTGGTGTGAAGAACAAGGCTTTACCCCAGAGCAATGAGGGTAGGAGTGATGTAGAGATGAGTAGGACATAGAAAGTAAGCTGCCCTCATCCCATACACCTTCCATTGGGCAGAGGCTCAGGCTGGGTGTGTGGCTGTGGTGCCTGCATGCCATGAGACATACTGAAATAACTTCCCAAAGTCAGGGAGAGCATGGCAGAAAATGGACTTGCTGAGTTGCAATATGCTTTTAGCAGAACAGAGATACACAGCATCCCTTGCTCAGAGCAGATTGTACAGTTACCTTTGAGCCCTTTGCTAGCTGTTGACAGAGTTTGCTCTGTTCACACTCCAGTACAGGGCCATCAGCTCACAACTTCCTTTAATGATAAATCCAGAAGTTTAAAAATAGAAGGCAGATGCAAGGATTCCATAAATATCTTGTTATTTATGAATTATATCAAATATATCTATTATATGATGCACTAAGCAAGGATATTATAATACAAATGCCTGTCTGCACAGCCCTGGAGACTTGTATTTCCATCTTTTCCACAGGAGATGGCCTGACTTTTATGGCATGACAATTATTAATCATTAATGCTCTTTCCACTGGAGTTTTAGGACAGATCTGATGGAATGGAGGACTATCACATATTTAAACTTTCAGCAGTACTCTTCATTTAACATATGTGGTCCCACAGTTTCTTTCTTTGAAGTCTGATACTTGAACTATTTTGTTGTTATTAGTTAGTATATAAATTTCCCTGTTGATTTACCTGCAATCAGCTTGGTAATTTATTTGGATATGTAGAGTTATTTGGGGCCAAATATTGCTTGATGGTGAACTGCTTATGCTGTTGCAGTGAAGCTGACTTGTCCCAGTTGAAGGGATGCTTTTTTCTGACCAGTGCGTACCAAGAAGTGATGGTGCGCTTGACTTTGTCAGCTTCTGGCCTATGGTCACAGGCTTTCAGGCTGCGACAGAGGGACAGTTGTATAGTAGCTAACAGTTTAAACCCAGTTCTATATGCCAACACTGAATGCTTTTCTTTTCTTCCTCTTTTTTGTATCAGACAAAAGGAGAACTAGGTTGTTATTTTATGTGCTTTAGATCTATCTCCAGCTTATTAAACAGCTATAGCATCACTTCAGAATTGAAGAAAAGTGGTGCCATTTTTAAATTGAGATCCTACATTCCGAGGGAAAAATGAAACCTCCATTTTATAAAACTCTCCATTTCCATTCTCTTTTCCCTTGCACTTCAATATATGCTTAACTTATATTCATCTCCAGCTGTCAGATGGAAGAGGAAAGGATGGCCATAAGTGCCTTTGGAAGCTGGGACAGGGGGCTACAGGGGTAGAAGACCTTCTTGGAGCAAAGACAATTTGTGCAAACCCAGAGCCTGCAGTGGCACCCGTAGTTGATGTGGTCGTTACAGTTCTGATTTTGTTATGGAGGTTGCCTAGCCTTTGAGATTGTCTTCATTTCTGTATGCAGAAGAAAGAAATATTGCACGTGTGTGTGACAAGCTAATAGTTATTTGGTTTGGGGTTGTGGCTGGATCTTAGGCTCAAATTCTTGTTGTGATTCGGTCTCTATATTACTCTATGGCCTTGAAGCAGGCCTTATCCATTCCACCTCAGTATCCCACCAGTAGAGCTGATGCTAATTTCATGAATCAGTAAATGTTTGGAAAAGTCTGACTCTCCTTAAGCATTAAATATCAATCTCAAGGTGACTGCCTCAGCCCTTAGTTTGGAATATGTTAGAAGCTGGAGTAGACTACAAATATCTGTTTCACCGTGGAGGCCCATGGCGTATTTGGAGGGCTGTAGGTATGAAGAGCAGGCCTTTCTGCTGGGAAAGATGCAGCTACCTCCTGCATCCCAGGAAGGAACTGCAAGACAGTCTTGCCAAACTGAGGGCATGCTCTACTTGAACTACAGCGGGTCTCCCCACATGCTGTGGATCTCTAACCTGTGGCTCATCCAAGATCCCATCTGGCAGCCAGTTCCATGCCACTCTGTGCCGAGGCTGAAAAAGGAGAGCTCTTTGTCCTCTGTGTTCTCAAATGGGTGCTGCCCACCAAATCTCAACACCTCCAAAGCTCACTTGTGTATGGAGCCGCCCCTAAGCCTGAGCTACACACCCAGCTGCTTCCTCTAGCCTGCAATAATGAATTTTCATTGCTGTGGAATTTAGATAGGAATTGCTCTGATTCTAAAGCTCATTGGTCACTAATAATAATAACAATGAAAAGAGCCATTTCTTAAGGACTAAAAACTAATCAGCGAATGTGTAGTTTCTGTGTCTCCTGCAGGTTCTTGTCTTGTGGGGCTGCCAGACTGCCTGTGTCACATGTCTGCCTGTCTGATTTCCGACTCAAGCTTTTCATTTCCTAAATGATAACGGATAAAAGATGAAATCTGGCACACACAGGTAATCTTTGCCATCTTAATATTTGTTAAGCTTTTTGATTTACTGAGAAGTTAAAGTCACTGCAGGTCACAAAACCTGCACATTAGATCTGCTTCATAAAACACTGTGAGTGAATGCTTTAGTCATTCGTTTCAGTCTTTAAACCAATGTAGCTGAAGAATTGCACCTCCAATTTATAAATCTCTCGATTTATTTCTGATTCCAGTTTATAGGATGGGAGTATATCCAGCTTTCCCCAGCCATTTGTGCATAGCTAGAGAAGAAACCTAACATATTTCTTGCATAATGGAGACTTGATCCAGCTTACATTTGTTAAATCACCCAAAGGGAAATGTTCTCACTAAGAAACTTTTGCGCACTGTTAATGTATCAAATCTGACCCGTGTTTCAGATTTCTGCTGTTCTTCTGCATCTAATCTTTCTCCCTCCCTACTCCAATGCACACACTCATCCCTCCCTTCTGTGGAAGAGAAATATGACTGTCATAGTCTCCCTCTCTCTGTTTTGCACATCTGCTTCCCACCCTTTTTCTGAAGGAGATCTATAACCCACAGAGAAATCAGAGATGATCTGAACCATTTTGGATACCTACTGCTATGGGATGTGTGGAGGCCCATGGGCAGCTCAGGTTTCACATCTGCCAGCTTTTCAGAGGATGTGATCAAGGGCAGAAATAAGCAGATGATGATGATGACGATGCTACGGAAACTGGTGTAAAGGAAATGGGATCCCTCCTCCCGGAAACATGTGTGCCCCCTAGCACGTGTCAAGATCATTTGGATGTGGTAGGAAGGCTAACACAAAGGAAAGTGTATTTTAAATAATGCATTATTTAAAAAGGGAGCCTCTGTCTTTAAAATACAGTGTGCGAGTTACTATCGAGTTTAGGTTTGGGCATGGTCTTTGACCCTGGAGCGCTGGCAGAGTCAAAAAGAGTGAAATGAGTCAAAGAGTCTGTCAGACAAGGTGAGATACTGAGCTTGCCTCTGATCTCACACCAACATGCGGTGGTGTAACCCCATTGCCCTCTGCAGATTCATGCAAACATATGGAGAGAAAAACCTACCCCAGAATCATTCAGTACCAAAATATACCCTTCTTTTTCTATGGCAATGTAAAAGCTTTACAAGAGGAACACATAAGGTGCCAAAGGGCAAAATTTTGGCTTGGATTAATACTGCTTCCAGCCACCCCAATGCAGAAACTTCTCTCCAATTAACTGACCTTGATGGATAAATTCCTCCTTTTTATCTTCCTCCAACCTTTCCCATATTCCATCTCTTTTTCTCCTTGATCCTCCTGATAAAGTCAGGCTGTCCTTCCAACTGTGATCAGCAGAGCCTTTAGCCAGTGCATAGCTTACTCTCCAAGGACTCCTGCTGCCAGGGGCTCCTTTCATTTTCTCTGCAAATACTTTCTAACAAATTTAGAAGGCCTTATTGGGAAAGGAATGGAATACATTTGTGTGTAGTGATGTATCTGCTAAACGGTGTGTGCTTTTCTCCGTGCAGTTCTCAAGGGACTTTGAGGCACGTTCTGTGGGCAGAGCACATGGAATTGCTCAGATGTATTGTTTGCATAGTGTGATATTATTCTGACTATCAGATCCTAAAAGAGAATTAGGAACATGCACAGTTTTTGGAGACTCCCTGATCTGAACTGCCCTGCTTAGAGCCTGACTTTGCCCTTGTGTAGTACAAGGCAGGTAAATGTGTGGCCCTCACAAGGAGGTTCAGAGCTCTACAACCAAGATTTTAGGCTCCCTCCATCACCAGTGTGGCCAGGAGAGAGCAATTTATCATATGGCATCAGTCAGACTCTTCTGGTAATTGGTCTTGGGACAAGGCAGTCAGCCCAAAGTCCTTCATGCATCTGACTTACCTGGTCAGCCAACTTTCTTTGGATACAAACAGCAGCAAGTGGTAGGCTTCAAGTGCAAACTAGACAAACACTGCTTGAGTTGTGAGAGCTTCAACAGCTCACAACTCGGTCCTTCTGTTGTGGGAAGGAGGATATTAGTGGAAAACGGCCAGTTGTAGGGATATGAGTGGGCATCTGAGGGTCACTGGCTATCAGATAAGGTAGGACCGATGCGTCAACAAAGGAATTTTGTCTCTTTGGATGTGAAGAAGGGAGGCAGAGAGACAAGAACTTCAAGAAATCTCTTGATGGAATAAAGAAGTATGTGTATGCTTGCACTAGGAAGTATGCAAAACGTGCCAGTACCAGGTGCTTTACCCTCCTGAATTGACTGCTGTGCCATAAAACAACTTTCTGTTTTCTTTTGTCCCTCCAATATTCAACAAAGAGACGTTTGTTTGAACCTCCCCATTCACCTCTGAGCGGTCCAGCTAAGAAAAAACCCCCGAGAGATGTGACTGCACAAGCACACAAGGACAAGAAAGCAGGAAATGTACCAGCTGCTGGGGAAAAAAGAGGAGAATGTTTGCAGTCCAGGAAGGGCTCTCACTATTTCTTTTCCACTTGTTTATTAGTTCACTGCTCTTTGACATCTTTCCCCCAGTCACTGCTTCCACTAGATGTTCTACCGGTTTAACAGCAAGCAATTACCCTTCTCCTGGCTTTGAAGCTATTGTTCCTCAGACACTCCAGTCTCTGGGTTCACAACAACTTTGTATTTTTTATTAGTCTTAGGTCTCCTGAGTTTTTTGGTAAGTTTTTCTGTTCTTCACATTTCAGATAACAGAGGCCAAATTTGCATGACCCTGGCCTCAGTTTCTAACAAAGTACTCTACCCTGTCTTCACCGAATCATGAGGGTCGGAAGGGACCTCTGGAGATCATCTAGTCCAACCCCTAGTCTTGAGAATGTTCAATTCAGCCTTGACATTTGGCTACTGAAATTTGGCCCCACTTTTGCAGAAAGGTTTGTAAATATGAACCCTGATTTTTCGCACCCAGAGCCGCCTCATTTTAGACTGGTTACAAACCCGTCTCACAGGTTTCGGTAGTATGGGTGTTGTGCTAAGTATGGGACTGCTGTTGATCCTCCTGTTTTCTTCTCTTGGTCTCTGCCTTGACAATGGATGGGTGTCTCTGCAATGGACCTCTGTGGGGTGGCTGCCAAGGATGCTGAGATTCCTTTGTGCCTGAGTTTCCTCCCACGGTGAAAACAGGGAGGGCTCATGCATACCTTGATGAGAAACTTCTCTGTGCCCGAGCTGCATCCCAAGTTGCAGCTTGGAATGTTGGAGATAATAGTCAGTGGTCCCATCATGCTGGATCACATCTTAGGGCTGAAGGCTCAGCAAGCGGTGGTCCTAAATCCTGGCTTGGCCTTGCCAATGATATGGTGGGGGCTGACATGGGCACACTTATCCCTCTCCTGGAGCATCTGTGTAGCATCCCTGAGAGTCTTGTTGAGTGAACCAAACAGGTATTACCAAAATACTTCTGTCTTGATCTATATGCCTTTTTGCTGTTATTTCTCTGCTTCCTAAGAATAATTCTTGGCCTTCATAAACCAAGATTCTTACTGGGTTTTCTTTTTCTCTTTCAGATATTTAATTCTACTATAAAAGCGTAGAAAAGTGAGTTACTCTGGCTTCCTTAGAGCATTTCTACAGAAGCTAGAGGCAGACAGGGAAAATCTAAGTTAACTTAGATTTTTCTCACCTTAAAGTATAAATCTTCATGAAGGAAAATATTTTGGCAAGTCGTGTGACTGAGTTTTGGGAAAGTGAATTCATCCATTCTGTTTCACACACCACAACTTTTTATGTTGAACTTGTTTTTCTGAGCTCGTGACTTTCACTGTTAAAGGATTTCTGTACACTACTACCTCAAGGTTTTCTTTCTGCTAAAATATTCTCAGGGACTGCGGTGATCACTAAAATTACCCATCTAACTCCTCCACATAAATGACTACGTTTCTGCCCCACAAAAAGTGAAAACAAAACCAGCTGTGTGTTCATGCAAGACCTTTCCAGGTAGCTTTCAAGTCCTTTGTTTTTTGCTTGGTCTTGAGTTGTCAATGTTACTGTTCATTTGCATTTCACATCTCTGAGTAAGACAGTGCCCTCAGGGTTCTGACTTGTTATTGGGTGCCAGAGCTAAAACTGAGCCATACTTTCATGTTCTATTGTATTTGATGGGGGACTCTCAGCAGTGCTTTGTCTCTTCCTGTTTGGAGGATATCTCCTTTACTGACAAAGTTTGATACCTGCTGGTGATCAAGGTGCAGCATGGAGTTAACCCTCTTCCTGCCAAGCAAAATGCTGTTGTACTGCTCTAGGTCATTTGTACGGGAAGGGCTGAAGTGTTTAAAGGAAAGTGTGGGGAATGGGCGCTTGTCCTGTGGAGAGTTGTAGCTGATGGATTATAACAATCTGTTCAGGACTTCCTCTCATTGTCAGTATTTACTCAGGAAAGATTTTATTAGGCACTGATCTATAACAGCATGAAGGGCAAACTTAGCTATACTGATGCAAAGACCCTCCCGACAGTGATGTTGGTGCTCAGATTAGCAGTCAGGTTAAAATTCAGTTCTTGCTGCTTCACACCTGAAGTTGGACAAGGGCTATTGCACTGCAGGATATAATAACAGAATCTATTCAAAAGGTCTGCTGAAGGATTGTTAAATTAAATATAGTTTTACTGCAGGCTTAAGTGCTTGAAACAACTCTGTCAGAACACCAGTTTAGTGAGACTGAGGAAGCCTGTGAACAACCAGAAAAATCACAGTTGGAGAAAGGCAATGGAAGATTTTTGCAAACTTTGTTGGCATTGAGATGCTATGGTTGGTGGGCTTTCGAATCTCAGGCAATAAAAGGCTCATTTACAGCAATTTCATGTTAGTAATAGTCTTCCTCTTCATTTCTCTAATAGACTTTTTTTCACTTACTCTGCTGTATATTCCTCAGAATAATTCTTAGCTTTCATAAACCAAGATTCATAATGAATTGTTTCAGATACTTAGTTCTGCCATAAAAATGAAGAACATTAACCAATGGAAAATTAGATAGGCAGAAACAATATTGCTCTATCTTTCTGCCTAATTAAGGTGAATATTTAGTTCCACCCAACTTTTATATGCATGATATTATTTAATCATTTAGTTACCAGAAGAGCCCAGAGAATAATGTATCCTGATTTTCTGTTTACAGAATCACTGTGATTTCCCCAGTTTGGTTCCGATAATTATTTAATGATAGATGGTTAGTTCTCAGTTCCAACTAGCTGCCAGCTCATTCACACTACCTCTAGGACAGCTTCCACTGTGAAAAGCAGCTGAAGCAGTGACTGAGTTTGCTGATTCCCTCCTGAACATCTTAAAGAATCAAATCACTGCTCATAGGATACGTCATTTCTGCTGATAGTGTTTTACAATAGGTTATATTTACTGAAACAGCCTTTGGTTTCCAAACACACAAAAACTTATCTATGGAAGTGTAAAATGGAAATCAAATTGCAAGACTAGCATGGACTTTGTCCTGAAGCTGTCCTGGTATGACATGAAACTCATCATTTCTGTCCTCTCTGCAGGGGGCATGTGTCTCATTAGAGCAGGGATAGTATTTCACACTCTGTAGTAAATACATTATTTAGGGGGGAAAAAGAGGTGAATAAGAGCCCTCTTAAGGTGTCAGTAGGATGCTTTCAGTGTCTTGTTTGGTGTTTTACCTTTCCACACTGGCAGGTATCCCTCAAAACATCCCTTTTGTTGTCTCCAGCCCCCACATATCCTAAAATCCAAATCCTTTGGATCTGTATTTTGATGGTTTTTACATTTGCTATTTTCTTGCATCTTCTCTTGATACTTACCTTGTATTTTACTTCTCTTTTGAGTTATGATGTTATACTCCTTATTGCCAAAAACATCCTTTTGAGTTTCACCCTTCTTTTTCTTTCTTAAGGACCTCCCAGAAATACAGGCCCATAACAGAGCATTCTTGGCTCAGATGTCCCAGAAAACAGCTCTAAAAGGGAAGGTAATGTGGGATTTTTGTGGCTTTCTCTTACACTAACAAATCGTTCCACTGGGGGTGTAGGAAACCTTCCACAATTACAGTTCTGTTGAAACTGGTACTTTTCTGGGAGAAATGTAACAGTGCAATTTTTCCAACAGCAGCATTTCCTTCTTTGATTGGAAAAGTAGGTACCCCAGGGTGATTATGGAGAAGCTGGGGATGGCCCTACACAAGGTTATGCAATGTGCTGGGCTTCCCTACAAATGAATAATGTCAGGTGTGTTGCCCTTGAGAAGTGCCTATACACGTAAACAGAGGTAGATTTAAGCACATGCTTCTGGTTGCACTTTCTTCTGTTAATTCTGTTTCCCAAAGAAGTGGTAAATGCTCCATCCCTGGCAGTGTTCAAGGCCTGGCTGGACAGAGCCTTGGGCAACCTGCTCTAGTGGGAGGTGTCCCTGCCCATGGCAGGGGATTGGAACTGGATGACCTTAAGGTCCTTTCCAATCCAAACCATTCTATAACTATTACCTAATTCATACATTCACACATTCGGTGTTTTGGTTTTTTTTTTCCCTTTCTTCACCCAGATTGTGATCATGTTTGTTTTAGATTCTTATAATACAGTTGTGATTCTAATAAGGTTTTGTTTCTGTGAGGGTAAGCAAAATCATGCTTTTCTAGTGTGTTAGAAGTAGTCATGCTGCTAACAGTATGGGTTGTGTGTATATCTTCCTGTATAACGAAGTTTTTAAAGCTGTAACATGGCTTGCAGGTATTTTCCTGATCTTTAAAAAACAATTAATGTTTAAAAGGTACTGTATATACACTCCACTTTAAATATTTTCATTATTCATTTATTGTTTGTAATAAGTTTAACCCTAATCCAATGTTTATTAAAACTGGACAGGATTTATTAAATTGGTTCAAGATTATCAAATATGTGCAGATCTTTACATATATTACATTAATTCTCTTTCTAAATATTTGCAAAATTCATTAAGTCTTTGCAAGACTTTTAAAACTGTTACATGAAGCTCAAATTGGCCACATTCATAATGCTGACAGAATGCAGTGCTTAAAAGAATATCTGAAAATAACATCTGAAGAATGAATCAGCACAATATGCTGTTCCAAAATCATTTTGGTATGATTGTCTTTAAGAAATGCACTCACCAGGGGCTGTAACGATAGGACAAGGGATGATGGGTTCAAAATGAAACAGGGGGAGTTCAGGTTAGATCTAAGGCAGAAGCTCTTCCCTGTGAGGGTGCTGAGGCGCTGGCACAGGGTGCCCAGAGAAGCTGTGGCTGCCCCATCCCTGGCAGGGTTCAAGGCCAGGTTGGACACAGGGCCTTGGAGCAAGCTGCTCTAGTGGCAGGGGGTTGGAACTGGATGATCTTAAGGTCCCTTCCAACCCAAACCAGTCTGGGCTTCGGGGATTCTAAAACTCCTTTAGACGTTTCACCTTGTTTTGCTGAGACGGTGCAAGGTGTCCATCACAGATGGGGTGAAGGTGTACCTATTTGTGTACTCCACTACCTGCTATAACTGGTAGCTTTCCTGACTCCACAGTGCAATTTAGAGGAGACTTGGGGCTGCTCTAAAGCCCAGTCAGTACTGCAGCCCCAGAGGGAAGGGAAGAATCCATGCTGATGTGTTCAGTTGAGGGCACTGGATTCAGGTTCAGGAGGTCCGGATTCTGACTTCTTGTGGGAATTCTGATGAATAATATGGAAGTGTCATTTGCTGCACATTCGAACTCCAAAATGTTACAAATCACCAGGAATTCTGGAAAACCTTAGCATTACTTTTCCTGTGTCTCAATTTCTTCAGTGCGAGGAAAGGAAGATGACACAACCCTGGTGTGGGCAGACAGTATGGAGATGAGCTGATCGTTGCTTATTACATTTGTACTGTTCCATTTTTGTATTCATTATGACCACATAAGAACCTTTTAAGTAAAACAGATTTATTTTTTGTAATTTTTTTTTTTTGCCATTAAAAAGACGTTTTCAGTGTAGGAGACACTTTACCTCAAAATGAAATATTCACCTGAAAGCTTCATTTTATGGAAAAGCTCCGGAAGTTTACCAAAGCATGAATATTCAGTTTAAGGTTTGGGTTTTCATTCTCCACAGCAACATTTATCTTTTTTGCTAATAAGTACAATACAGCCAGTGATGTCCAAGATGTGTTTTCTCAGGGGACAAAAAAGTGTGGGTATTTAGCAGCAAAAAAACTAAAAAGGAGAAATATGGAAACAGTGTCAACATTTCAAAGGCTGCATTTTCCATTAATGGATTTATGTAATATGAAATACATTTTTTTTTAATTTTACATTAACATGAAATGAATATATACATTTTGATAATGCTTTCTGGATATATTTGCTCTGTCAGTTCACTCATGCTCTCAGTTTACCTTTGTTTCACCCCTGAAATTGATACTCCCTTTGTGCAGCTTCATTAGAAAAGCCTATGGGAGGGTACACAAACACTAATAATGATCACTTGGAAGTCTGCAAACCTGTCAAGTGAACAAGTTCACGCTGCAGCTTATCCAGACAAAACCTTAGTCTTGGACTTTGGTGACACAAAGCCACGGTCTAGCACTGATGGTGCTT